AGCGAGGCCCGGGACGGGTGAGTGCTGGCGGGCATCCGTGTCCATCTCCACGACGCTGTGTTTCCCCTACCGCTAAAGGTTGGGCAGCTTCAGGGTCGAAACCCGGGAAGGAGCCGGGAGAGGAGGCTCCCTGGGGACCCTCCCGTCCCGACATGGCTTCTCTTCACCTTTTTACTAAAAGACCTTTTACGCCTCACTGGGGATGCCACTGTCCCTGCAGATGGGCTTGACCCTCTCACCTGCTTCCAGAAAGCACAGGAGGCAGCTGACACCCAACACTCCTGTAGGAATCGTCCCCAAACCACTTGCCCGCAGACAAAAGAGAGCCTCCGCAAGGGGAAACTCTCTCTAGAAATCTTGGCCTAGAAAAGAAAGTTTTTAGCACTGAAGGCAAACCTGAGCCCTGACTGGCTGCCTGGGGTGGTGGAGACTTTCTGCTGTGTGACCTTGGGCGAGCCCCACGGCCACCTGAGCCTGGGTGTCAGAAATGGTGGTGGCACCTGTCTTGGAGAATGAAGGTGAAACAGGAGTCAGGAGTGAGCACTGGCAGTGCATGAATGCTGGTGTCCTTCCCTCCCTCCTCTGAGCCCCCCAGCATCCTAGGGGCAGTCAGAAAGCACGGGGTTAGGGTCTTTGTCACAAAGTTGCTAGTTTGCCAAGAGGAATCTAGTTGTCCCTTTCCCCAGGGAGCTGGCAGGATTGACTGCCTGAACTTATTGCCCCCATGGGAACACTGGGGTCCCCGGATGTGTCCCTGATTATCTTGACACAGTGCTGACTGCTTGCCACATTGTTCTTCATTAGCAAAAGGCTGTTTGTTCAGTAGGTAACAAATTGACTCCTCTCAGCTCAGCAGGGAGAAAAGTTCCCACTTAAACCCTCCATCCCAGGATGTGACTTGTGCCCATATTGCTAGCTTAATCCTTTTGTGTGCCCCTGTCCTCTGAAGTCTGCTAAAGCCTGGCTCTGTGCTGTTAGTGACTTACTTGACGTTTCAAAGGTAGAAGAAACCTTAACATTACCTGGTATAACAGCCCACTATAGAGACGGGACCACAAAGCCTAGAGAGGCTGACTTGCTTGTTCAAGTTTATCTTGGATGTTCCAGGCAGGGCATAGGCCCCAGCATAAATTTCCTGCCTGTGGACATTTTTTTTTAACGGCCAGGTAGAAAAGTCTAGGGGTTAAGAACATGGAATTCTCCCTTGGTTTATTCTTCCTGTGTGTGTTTCGCTGGGCAAGTTACTTCCCTTCAGCTTCCTCCTCCGTAAACAGGATAATAATAGTGCTGGCCTCATGGACTTGTGGAGATTAAATCCGTGAAGACACCGGAAAGCACTTAAGACGGTGCCTATGTCTAGAATATTTTATACTTGGTAGTCATCACTGCATCACATCCTAACTCCACAAAATTTTTAAAGCATGGTATGCTCAAAGACTGGGCCACATTCAGCAGAGCATCCTGGTTTCGAAGCTGGACAGACTCAGGTGTGGTGTGATTCCCAGCCATTCACCAGCTTTGTGACCTTGAGCTCAAGAGCTGCATTGGTCATATGGGTTAAGTGACATCAGCCTGGCTGCGTAGTTAGGGATGTTAACTGAGCTAGCATGGGTAAATCCCTTCCCTACGTTCAGGGTCTGGGCTCTGAAATGATACCTGTTGTCATTATAATCTTGAGCTATGGAAAAGGCCTAATTCAGATGGAGCGTCAAAAGGTAGGCATTTGTAGGAGGTAGGCTAAGAGATAGGATGCTCTCGGATTTTAGATGAAAAACGAACACTTGTGAAATGCTCTGTGTGCTTCCAACAACCTGGTTTTTTCAGCTTTCAGCATCAGGGAGTTCTTTGTGCTCATAGTTCTCTCTCCCTCTCTCCTCCGTGTGACCGTTTCACTCTTGCTGTCACTGATGCCTGCCAGTAGAGCCTGCAATTAATGAATGACCTCCAGTTACTACTACATGCTTAGAAACCCTGTTTTTGTCCTAGGGCTGCAATCTTTTCATGATGGAGGGAAGCCGGCAGACACGAGTGTCTCGGCCGTACAAGATCAGTGAATCTTCAAAGGTTTGTGAATGAGTTGCTCATCACCTGTGCAGATTGCCAAAGAAGCCTGATATTTTTCTGAGGGGCTCATTTTAGTTGTACAGACATTTTCTACTCTTGGTGCTGGTGTTAATCTCCCTAATGATGACTAGAGGTGGAAGGAGTGGAAAAATCGTAAAATCAGAGAGAGCTGGGGGTACGAGGGATGTTAGAAACACAGCTTGATTTATTTATGCTACACCTCGACCCTAAGAGGTGTACCAGACAGGGTACACACCATGAGATTTCCGTCCCCACTTGGGACTCAAAAACTCCAAGAATGTATCCATTGAGAAGCCAGCCCCCAGCCTTATGGTGAGGGCAACACTTTGAATACCTGGTTGTTAAGGATCCAGAACCTTCCCTCAGTCATGACTTTCTGGGACTCTAGGAGCAAGTGAGGGTGGGTTCCCCAGTGTGGGGCTACCTACCTGTGTCACACTGTCACACTGGCTGCATCAGAATCACCCAGGGAGAAAGGGAGGGGGAAGGTGTCTAATTGGAATTGCATATGACCAGCCCCACCCCAGACCTGGTAAATTAAAATTTGAGAGCAGAACCTGGAAATCTATAGTTTTAGCAAACTCTTCAAGTGACTTGGAGTGGCCCCTGTCCCTACAGCTGCTATAGATAAGTCTTGGGGGACCAATTTGTGGGACAGTCCCCATTTCCACCTGTCTCTTTATAAATATTAATAATACTCTTTCCTTTAAAAGTATTCTTTTTGAAGACTGAATGCTATAGATACCTTGGAACATGCATTCTCAATGGGGCCAGTATTGCCCCCCCGGATATGAAATTGGTGTTTCTGGGCGTGGAAAGGATTTTATTCTTTTAAAATATAAAGCATGGTTATACATACAGTACATGCACAGACATACAGAATATATATGGGGTTAAAATTACATAGTGAGCTATTGGGAGGAATATCTTAAAAGATTGAAAACAAGATAAAAAAAGATTAAGAAATACCATTTTAGATAAAGGGAGTTGTGATCAGCCTACAGACGTGAAGAGAAAAAAAAGAGGGAATGAGGGTCGACAGGTGTGTGTAAAAGAAAAGCAGGGTGTAATTTTCAGGAGAGGTTGGTTCTCCTGAGAAATGGTCTCCTGTTTCCATTTGAGTTTACTGAGAAGGCTCCTGCCAAGCCCAGCGTTATCAGCTGTGAAACCCCAGGAAGGTCTTGCTGCTGACTCAAAGGGCCTTTGTTACTGAGCTTGGCTGCAGAGACAGTGTAGCTTTCTAAGTTTGATAGCACTGGAAATCTTTGTCCCTTAAAGCCAGATTCTGAGCTTGTTTCTCTCTGAATCAAAGCTTTTAGGAATTGGGTTCTCTATCCTTTGGTTCATTGTGTTTATGGTCCTAACTTTTTATATTTAAAAAATGCCCAAATCAAGAAATCTTGCACAACATTGTAAAATGATTATAAATCAATAAAAAATGTTAAAAAAAAAAGAAATCTTGATTTTTCTAGACATTCAATATATCCTCGTGGCCAGCACCCAGATAAATGAAAGAACCTTACCAAACCCCTCTGGCTGCTATAATCCAGATAGCCACGTTCCCAACTTCCAGCCCTGCAGTTTTGCCTGGCCTCAAATTTACATAAGTGGAGTAGGGGGATGGAGCCCCCCAGTGCCTGGATCCTTGCTGTGGTCACTGCTTCTGAAGTTCACCCCAGTTGCTGTGTGTGGTGATCAGTGGTGCCCTCAGCACAGCAGAGTCTTCCATTATGTGGCTTCCATTGTCCTTTTAGGTACTCTAAAATGTGTTGATCCCCTTTGATGCTGAATCCTTTTTTAACATAAAATGCCCACTACCTGCTGCATTCTGTACAGGGCTAGATCTTGAGTACCTTGTTTTCTCTCACCTTGCCTAGCCTTTGACTAAGGCAGTGAAATAAGAAATGAAGAATAAACAGGATTAGTACCATCAGAAAATGCTGAGGGTCAGAGTTTCTAAATTACATGAAATGCTGCAACTCTGTTACTGCTGCCCCTTTGAAATTGGGAAGTCACGTCTGTCTGTTTTTAGCTCTAAATCTCTGCTGCTGCAGTATAGTAACCAGAAACGGGCTGTAGTCGAGACCCAGGTACAGAATTAAAGGTGCCTACTTAGCATGGAGACCCAGCTTTAGGAGCAGCAGCTGCCCACTCCCAGCCTGGCTTACAGAGCAGATGGTTCCCCTCGCAGCTGTCGCCTCCGCCCCTCCCCAGGGCTCTTCCCCTTACCACACTGCAGCCTGGGGCGGGTGCACCCCCATCTAAGTGTGGTGGTTCCAGCGCCCCTCCCCACTGAGACAGCCAGAAGCCCCAGGTGAGCTGACAGCCCACCTGGTGCCCCTCACTTGCATCTCTAGGACATTTGCCTTCACTGTTACTCGATACCCTGCTCCTGCAGTGCTTTTTAATTTTCTTCCTTCAGTCCACACCCAGGTGGGTCCCTGAGTCAGTGACTGTTGGAGCCCAGACGATTCCTGCCTAATTAGAAGCTAAAACCCGGCCAGCCTGGGTCTCTCAATGAATAACCAGAATAAACTGAGATGTCCGAGAATGGGACTACAAGAAGCTGTCCTGTCATGTAAGGCAGGGGAGCCTGGCTCTCTAACCCTGGATGGAAAGGAAGCTTTAGGACACATCTGTTTGGTCTTGTTGGAATGTGCGGGAGTTGCCTGAGAGTGTCATATAGACCAAGCGATCGACGTTGTAAGATGAAGAATGACCACAGGGACATAAAGGGCCCCAGTTACTGATGCACTAGCAGCCCCAAAGAACAGATTTGAAAGGGAAGGAAAAACTCGCTGCTGGAGGGCATGTATTGAGAAGTAACCTGTAGGGACCTGCAAGCCAGTCACCGAGGCACTCACACCCGTTGAGCCCTCACCCACCCGTATTTTTTTCCACCGCCAGTTCCCCACCTTGGGCTTACTGCCCAGCTCGCCCTTTTCCCCAGTTGGCCTTGAATCACCCTGCTACCTAGTTGATGTTTCTGAATGGTCTCTTTTTCCATATGTTGAATTTTCTTGTTGTTTTTGTAGGGAATAAATAAAGCAGTGTGAAATATCCTGAAAGCCCAAAGCATAATTAGTCCTCCAAGGATTTAGAAACTATTGTCTAGGTCTGATTTTTCTTTATATCTTCAAAAGCCCAGGACAGGCAGATAACAGTCAGTAGATGTCCACCACCCTGAATGTATTGAATTAATTCATATTAATTATTCATATTAATTGATTCATTAATTTCAGCAGAGTGTGGTGATTAAAGGTTTGGGCTCTGGAATCAGGCCTAGGTTCTAGTCCCAGCCCTGCCCCTCAGTCACTGTGGGACTTTGGGCAAGTATCTTAGTCTCTCTGAGCCTCAGTTTTCCTCATCTGGGAAATAGGGATTGTAATTGGCATTCCCTTGGAGGGTTCTCATGATACTCAAATGAGAGCACAGCACAACATGTGGCACATATAGCCCCTGGGAAAAGAGCATTTTGTAGACGTATCTTTTAACCCTGGGCACTGAATATTGAAGCCGTGTTTCTGAAAGTAAGATTCCCCAGAGCATGTTAGTCTGGAACTGTTGCTAAGTCTTTGGACCCATCATACCCCTGGAACTGACCATCACAGTGGCTGACATCCCTCTCGCTCTCCTCGGGTGGGCTCTGTGCCAAGTTCTGTCTCACGAGCCCCCCAACCCCAAACCTGGGTGGTAAATACCCTCATCCTCATTCATGAGACAAGAAACAGAGGCCCGGCTGCTTGCGACTCACTGAGATCACACAGCTGCAAAGTGGCGGAGCTAGGGTTCCACCGGCTTCTGTCTGACTTTAGAGGCTACGACCAGGCGACTCCACCGTCCTGATGGGACAGTATATTCAAGCCTATGTGCCGTGACCTGCACACAGCCAGGGAAGGAGGGAAGGAGGAAAACTTTCAGGAATTCTATTTATAAAGAAAGAGAAGAGGAAGAGAGAGGGAAAGAGAGATAAAGGAGAGAAGAAAGAAAGCAAAAAAGATTGAGTTAAGAATTTTTTTATAAAGAAGGAAATAATACAAATACACATGCATGGACACACATGTGGAGGAACAGCCTTCTGTTCTGGGAGGCACTCTGCTACTTTATTTTCTGTTCTCTCTCGTTCCACTGTATTTGAAAATGCTGGTCATGACATACCAGATAGATCCCAGGACCCTGCAGCTGTTGAGTGAGAAGTTGGCCTGCTCCCCTGCCCCTGTCCTGACCTGTGCTCTCTGCTGCAGGTGTACCGCTGGGCCGACCACTCGACCACTGTGCTGCAGCGGCTGAATGAGCAGCGCCTCCGAGGCCTCTTCTGCGACGTCATCCTGGTGGCGGATGAGCAGCGTGTGCCGGCCCACCGCAACCTGCTGGCCGTGTGCAGCGACTACTTCAACTCCATGTTCACAATTGGCATGCGCGAGGCCTTCCAGAAGGAGGTGGAGCTGATCGGTGCTTCCTACATCGGGCTCAAGGCTGTGGTGGACTTCCTCTATGGTGGTGAGCTGGCGCTGGACGGCGGCAACATCGACTACATCCTGGAGACGGCCCACCTGCTGCAGATTTGGACGGTAGTGGACTTCTGCTGCGAGTATCTGGAGCAGGAGGTGAGCGAGGACAATTACCTGTACCTGCAGGAGCTGGCCTCCATCTACAGCCTCAAGCGGCTGGATGCCTTCATCGACGGCTTCATCCTTAGCCACTTCGGCACGCTGTCCTTCACGCCTGACTTCCTGCAGAACATCTCCATGCAGAAGCTGTGCGTCTACCTGGGCAGCAGCGAGGTGCAGCGGGAATGTGAGCACGACCTGCTGCAGGCTGCCCTGCAGTGGCTGACGCAGCAGCCGGAGCGCGAGGCCCACGCCTACCAGGTGCTGGAGAACATCCACTTCCCACTCATCCCCAAGAATGACCTGCTGCACCGTGTTAAGCCAGCGGTGTGCTCACTGCTGCCCCGGGAGGCCAACTGCGAGGGCTTCATCGAGGAGGCCGTGCGCTACCACAACAGCCTGGCAGCCCAGCCCATCATGCAGACCAAGCGCACTGCCCTCCGCACCAATGAGGAACGCCTGCTGTTTGTGGGCGGCGAGGTCTCCGAGCGGTGTCTGGAGCTCAGTGATGACACCTGCTACCTGGACGCCCAGAGTGAGCAGTGGGTCAAGGAGACACCCCTGCCAGCCAGGCGGAGCCATCACTGCGTCGCTGTGCTGGGGGGATTCATCTTCATCGCTGGTGGCAGCTTCTCGCGGGACAACGGAGGGGATGCGGCCTCCAACCTTCTTTATAGGTATGACCCCCGCTGTAAACAGTGGATCAAGGTGAGATTAAAGCCAGATTATTTCTTTATTCTTGAGGACTTTTGATCTCCTTAACCTTGACTGCCCCTCCCTACCCCGCACCGCGGGCCTTGACCACTGTCCTGCTTCCAAGCGAGGTGTGGTGATAGTGATGAGTCAGATCATTCCCACTGCCCCTCGCCCGCACCTGTCCGTAGGCAGTGAGGGCTGACCGGCCACCTCCTGCAGGGTCAGTCAGTGTCCAGAACAGTGCTGTCCGGGCGAACTTTCTGCACCAACAGAAATGTTCTACATCTGTGCTGTCCGATGTTGCAGTCACCTGCCACATGTGGCCTGTGGGACTGAAGAACTAAGTTTTCCATTTTATTTCATTATAACCGAGGTACATTTGAGTGTAAACGGCCACACAAGGCTTGTGGCTACCGTATTGGATAGCACCAGTTTAGAGATTGGACCCAACGTCCCAACAGGCTCCCCTTGTCTCAGAGCCTCCACCGAGCTCCTCTTTTGGAAAGGTTAGGAGCTGGTTTAAGGAGGCCTCGAGGGCTCACCCTGGTGGGAGTTGTGGCCCTTTGGCAGATGTGGCGGCTGATTCCAGGCAGAGCCTGGGTCTTGACATCAGACCCATGTTCACATCCCAACTTGGCTTAATTGTGTTTCAGACCAGGGTGTGTTTCAGGCTAGTTCCCTGCCCTCTCCCGATTCCAGCTTCTTCTTCTGGACATGAGTGGGGAACACTGACCTTCCAGGGTCAGCGGTCGTAGCTCACGCTGATTGACAGGTGTGCCCCTCTTCTCCCAGGGAGAGGACCTGGGACCGCCACCTGCGAAGTCTGTCTCAGTCTTAATACTCACACCTCAGTCTTTTTACTTAACTTGGTGTTTTTCTGAGCTCAAGGCTCTGAACAGACTCAGATGACCTTTCTATTTTGTTCTCAAAAATCTAAAACCACCCTCCAAGGTATAGGTCTTGCCACTGGAAGGAGGCTCTCAGCTTTAGAGCCCATCCTCAAAACCTTCATAGCAGTGGCAGCCTGAACGTATGATCTCCCATGGGACCGTGTTCATTTGTGTGTTCTGCTTGGATGATTTGAAAAAGAAAGAAAAAGTTGGGTCTTCTGTTGTAAATTTTCTGTTGAGTGCCACTTTCTGCCTGTTAACATGTTTGGCGATCAGCATTAATTTTAAAAATATCTGATGGGAGTGTTGAGGGGAAAGATTAACTTTTATTTCAGGAAACCAGTAAATCAGCAGTTGTGAACTGTGTGTGTCCTGCAGAATTCTAGGCCACAAGGTCAACTATGTGGCCAGACAAGTTTGGGGAAGCGAGTTCTCCATTTCCCTCTTGGGGATTCATGATGTTTTTGAGGCTCCTGGGAGCTCTGAGAATTCCCACTTAAGGAACTCCTCTTTCTACAAGTTTGGCTCCCTTCCCCAGATTCATGTGGCCACCTTCCCCAGGTGTGCCTTCCGTGGGATGTGTTTGGGGACACACTGTTGGATGTTGACACTGACCTGGGTCGGGGAGGGGAAGGTACAGGTATCTCGCCTCAACAGGTGGCCTCCATGAACCAGCGCCGCGTGGATTTCTACCTTGCCTCCATTGAAGACATGCTGGTGGCTGTCGGCGGCCGGAATGAGAACGGAGCTCTCTCTTCAGTTGAGACCTACAGTCCCAAGACTGACTCCTGGTCCTACGTGGCTGGCCTGCCAAGGTGATCAGGGTTTTGTGGACTGTACTAACATGGCAACTTTCAGGTTACAGGTCAACCCACCTCCCTTTCTGGATATTTTAGCCTCCATCTCCAGGAAAAGTCTCTTGACTTGTAAATAACAGCGGGTAGACCATGAGGAGCAGAGGGCATGGTGGTGATGGGCCAGGGAGCCTGTTCTAGGCTGTTTGACTGCAAGTGTCAGCTCTGTCGCTGAGACAAATATGACTTTAGTCTCTTCACTTCCTGAGTTTCGGGGAGTGAGTGCTGAGTGAGTGAAAGATTTACCTGATAACCTCTCTGATTTTGGGCAGGAGGAGTTCAAAGAGCTGGGAGGTTATCTATCCTAGATCTGACTCAAGCAAGTGTCTTCACCCCAGGCTGTCTTTGTTTCCTCATCTGGAAAGGAGATGTGATGATAATACCCACCCTGTGGAGTTGTCACAAGGATGGGACAAGAGCTAAGGAGTCTCCTCCCCTCCCAACCGGCACCTGGGAAATGCCTCCGGGGTCAGAGCTCATCTGCCTCTCTAGTCTCCTGGCATCGAGGTGTCCATTTACTGCTTTATTACTGCCACGGGTTTAGCAAAGGTGCCTGCCAATTCTTTTGCTGGTCTTTGTGGTTGGACCTTTGAGCCAGTCTTGCTGTGTAACACATCTGGGCGTCCTGGGGACTTTGTCCCTGGGAATTAGAGTGCATGGGTTAGGCGTCTGGGTATGGTTCCCAGCTCCTCCAGTCCCTCGTAACTACCACCTTCATGTAAAGGTTCTAAGAAGCCAATGAAGTAACAGCTGGACACCTGACAGTCATGATCACCACATGCCAACCCTGGGCCAAGAGCTTGATGTGATGAGTCCCTTGATGTCCACACTAACCCAGGGGCTGGAGGTAGTGCCCAAGTAATCTATCACCCAAACCCAGGGGAGGGCAATGGTGTGAGTCCTGCCCATGTCCTGTGCAAACTAAGACCCGTGTTCTCCCAGAGGTCTCGTTTATTGTCCATTTTACAAGTGGAGAAGTGAGGCTTATTTATAGTGAGAAGAATATCTGATATCTGTGGCTATCACTTTCTCTGGGCCAGCCAGGGTGATTTATGTACCTTAAGTACTACAATAACCCTATTATGTTTTTTTCTTAATGGACCTCAGGTGATCAGAGTTGGAATAAACATAATCATGATGCTGTCATCATTACAGCGTATATGCCCCACATTTATTTCATTTATTCACTCATTTATTTTTTCATTCATTGACTGACTTGTATAGTGGTACCTCCGCAAACCCACAGCCCAACCCAAGAGCCAGGACACTGAACAGTAACTCCCATCTGTCCGGGGCTGGTCCTGCCCCTGTGCTTTCCTCCCATCCACCAGCCTCCTGCCTCCCCACTAAGGAACCACCATCCTGAATGTCCTGACATCATTCCCTTTTTGTTTCCCCTTTGTTTGCACTTTGTTGTTATTTTCTTTTTTGTCTCTGGTAGACTTCATTTTTTTAGAGCCATTTTAGGTTTAGAGAAAATTGAACTGAAAGTACACGCTCTCCCCTGAGCACACCCAGCGTCTCCTGTCATTAACATCTGGTCTGGCAGTATCCTGACCAGTACATTTGTTACAGCTGATGCACCAAAGTTGATAATGCTAGCATTACCGAAGCTCCCTGGTTTACGTGAGGGTTCGCTCTCTGGGTTGTGTTATTTTGCGGGTTTTGATGGGTAATGATAGTTGTCAGCTGTTACAGGGTCATGCAGAACAGTCTTGGCCAGGATGGTGTAGCTCAGTGGTGGAGCACATGCTTAGCATGCATGAGCTCCTGGGTTCAATCCCCAGTACCTTCATTAAATGTTTTGAAAAATTATAAAAATAAATAAATGAATAAACCTAATTACCCCCCTCCAAAAAAAACCCCCACAAAATAGTCTCAGTGCCCAAAGACTCTCTCAGGCTCCATCTTTTCATCCCTCCCCCCCGACCCAACCACTGGCAGTACCGGTATTGATTGTCTCTGTAGTGCTGACTTTTCCAGAATGTCATGTAGCTGGGGCTGTACTGTTTCAGTCCCCATTTGATACGTCCCTGAGTCAGGTACACACATGTGCCTCAGAAGCAGGTCATTTCCAGCCCTGCTGAGAAGGGTAACTCTCTAGTGATGACCCCCACCTCTCAGACAGGGACAGAGAGGGCAGACCTGGGATTCTAGCCCAGGCGGTCAGGCTGCAAAGGGGCCTGAGTGTAACCTGCCCTGCTTGCCCCTTCCAGTCCACACCCAGCGGCTCTCAAGTGTGCAGGGGTTGGGGGTGCCCGTTCCCCCCGTGACCCCCTCAGAGGGCACTTGTCTGCATCTTGTGGAGGAAAAGACTGGGTCCCTAGCTCACGGAGGCCCAGCCCGGCACCACACTGAGCATACTCTGTCTCTGTCTGTCCATCTGTCTCTCTGCAGGTTCACGTACGGCCACGCGGGCACCATCTACAAAGACTTCGTGTACATCTCGGGGGGTCACGACTACCAGATCGGCCCCTACCGCAAGAACCTGCTGTGCTACGACCACCGGACAGACGTGTGGGAGGAGCGGCGGCCCATGACCACGGCGCGTGGCTGGCACAGCATGTGCAGCCTGGAGGACAGCATCTACTCCATCGGCGGCAGTGACGACAGCATCGAGTCCATGGAGCGCTTCGATGTGCTGGGTGTGGAGGCTTACAGCCCACAGTGCAACCAGTGGACACGCGTGGCGCCACTACTGCACGCCAATAGCGAGTCAGGCGTGGCCGTGTGGCAGGGCCGCATCTACATCCTGGGCGGCTACAGCTGGGAGAATACAGCCTTCTCCAAGACAGTGCAGGTGTATGACCCTGAGAAGGACAAGTGGAGCCGGGGCACCGACCTGCCTAAGGCCATCGCTGGCGTGTCCGCCTGCGTGTGCGCACTGAAGCCACGGCTGGAGGACAAGAAGAAGAAGGGCAAGGGCAAGAGACCCCAGGACCGTGGCCAGTGAACCCGCCCCTCCCGGAGACCAGCAGTACCTGGGTCAAGTCCTGGACCGTGATGTACAACTTTGCAGCTTTTTTTACTTTTATGATTCTTGGTATTTCTACAGTATCACAGTAACTGATTAAATATTCTATATAATTTACATATTATCTTGCTTGAATAATTAAACCTGGGCCCAGGCAACAACTGTCCCTGGATCCATGCTGGGCTGCTTCCCACATGATGTGTCCCCAGGATGGGCAGGGAGCCCAGGCAGTCCTGACCATCTCCTGAGAGTAGCCAGGTCAGGGGTTGCACAGACATTTTCGTAGTGAAACGAAGGGCTCTAGTGGGACGTTTCAGACCCCCTAGTCCACACCTCCCCCAAACCTGGCTGAACTTAAAAAAATAAAACGGATTCCTGGGCCCCCCCACAGGATTCCCAAACCTGAAACTACCAGGAGTGGCAGAGGGAGTGCCTGCAGACTGTTTTAACTTGTTCTTAGAATGACTGAGCCTCAGCCACATTTGGGAATCCAGTGTGTTCCTTTTTAAAAGTGGGGCACGAGGCTCTTTACAAGCATTATTCTGTAATTTGTGCTTTTGTCTTTTTACTTTACTTTCTCGTGTCTTTTTTCTGGGACCCACTGTTTCACATATTACTGATGTACTGAGCCCCACAGGTCTACATTTATCTCTCAGGAAAGGAAAAGGGAGCATCTAGGATTTGCCATTGTTTTCCTGGACTGCAGCTTCAAGAAGCCACAGGAAGTTCCTGCACCAGTGAGGGAGCATTGATCCCCGATAAGGAGGTTGTCCCTCAACTCCAGCGGCAGATCCTGGTCCTGGCAGGCCGTCTGCTCTGAAGGAGTTTTGTGCTGCTGGGCAAATTTTTCAACAAGTCTGGAGCTGTTTCCTCATGCTTTGAACAACAGGGTTAGCTGAAAGAGTGGCCAGGCTCCTTCTGGTGCGTAAGCTCTTTCAGCCTGGATAAGCTATTAAAATGCATTCAGCACCTCCTTGTGAGATGTGTGACCACCCTGCCCTGGTTCCTTTGGTTACTGGAATAGACAGCAGTCGTGCGTGTGCTATAAGGAGGGTTTGAGACTCCTGCCCAAGCCATTGTGTAATACAAGTACCATAGGAGTGGGCTTGGGTTTCAGTCGTGAGCCTAGGGAGGCACAAATGATCTCTACCGTGGCAGAGATCCGATTGCAGAGATGAGAACACGCCAAGATTTATTGTCTGGGGAAGTGTAGAGCCCAGTGGTAGAGCACGTGCCTAGCACGCACAAGGTCCTGGGTTCCATCCTCAGCGCCTCCATTAAAAAATATAAGATTTATTGTTAACACTGATGTTAGAGTAAGGATCTCAGTTAATATACTTCTTTTTTCTTTTTCTTTTTTTTTTTGTCTTTTTACTGCCCTTCCTTTTCTTTCTCTTGAAGGTTTATTGTGATTTTTGGTTGGCCTGTTTCAATAGTGACCAGGAGAGATGAGAGAGCAACATGGGAGCTGAAAACTTCAGTACCCAAGTTGTTGCCCTTTCTTGCTAGTTGGGCAACCAGTCTGCAGAGTTTAGCTGGGAAGTTGCTAAAGCCTTACAAACTCTTGAGGGGCTCTGCAGGGCATACAAACAGTCAAACCAAAAAGCTGTACACTCTTCTTGGATCTTTTCTTTAATACAACACTTCAATGTATTAAAGGCTCTGAGAAGTCCTGCATTAACTGTTAACCCTCCATGAACCCAGCATTTGCAAACTTCATTGAGCCTGAAACCATTTTTTTGGTCTCAAACCTAGTCCAGCCCTCCACAAAACACGTTTTTGTGGAGCCACTGCCAAATGTGAGGTAGCTTAACCCTTTCGTATTCCAGGAAAGGTTTCATCATTTGAAGACCCTTTAGAAGGCACAGGATCTGTGGTCTGTCCTCCCCAGCTCAGCCCAGGTCTTAAACAAAGAAATGGTCATTCAACCAGAATCCAGGGGCAGGTTGAGAGGAGCACGCATAAAGACTCCATGCATGCATGCTTTGGGGAGCAGGAAGGCTTTAACCTTCGGAAGAGGACAGCAGTGAATTTTTAGCCAAAGCCAGCTGTTGTATTTTTGACTACCAGGATGTTTCCCAAAATAAGGGTACAGTATGTCTTCTATTCTGATTTTCTTGTGCCTTGTGGGTGACATACGGTGTCCTGCCCCTGATATTGTGTGATGTCTCTCTAGGCCACTATGAAGGATGTTTGTGACATACATGCCTTAGAATCTAATATGGTGGAGGTGGCGAGCATTCTTTTAAAGGTAGGGTTGATGAGGTCGTCTTCTGCAGACCGACTTCAGATAATTGGTGGTGGCTCTGCTGTGCCCAGAAAGGTTTTCGAGCATGTAAGCGTCGGTGGAAAGGAGCATCACAACCAGTGAGCAGTGTCTGCCTGGACGTGGGAGAGCAGAGAGGTTGGAATGTGGCAGGTTTTTGCTGCCTGTGTTTTGAAGATGGAAAGCACCCTTCTGTGCAGTCCAGCTGAGAAGGAAGAGAATCGTTAACAACCCAGACGGGCAGAGCTTGGGGATGTACTCAGGCGGATGGCCATTTGAGCTGAGGAATCGCGATAGTGTGGTTTCAAACCCTGGTGACCAAAGCTGGGGTTCTCATGGCTGCCATCTAGAGACAGAAACAGTGACGTTTGCCCTTGTGTCTTCAACCTCCTTGCTCCGAGCTACTCTGCTTGACCTTTGGAAACACATGGATCATCTTTTGATCTTTCAAAATGAGCAGGGTGGGCTTTTATTCAGGTGTTAATTTTTTTTCCTCCTTTTTAGAAAACTGGAGTTTTAACTTCACATTAGTGGTCGTTTTGGAGTTTGAGCCTCACCCCAGTTGGAATCCCATTTGCTTAAGATGTTAATGTAATGTTAGAAGGGAAGCAGGGTAGAAAAGCTGAAGAATCCTTGTTACTTCGAGTGGTCTTCCTGCTGTTTAAAATATTACTCAGTGGGAGAGTGGGTTCTCAGCATGTACGAGGTCCTGGGTTCAATCCCCAGTACCCCCATTAAAATTAATAATACCACCTCCTCCCCCAAAAAAATATACACAGAGATTATTTTAGCATCTTGCTTGTGTGTATGGCTCAATCTGTATTTTTAACATCCTGCCGCTTTAGAAATCTAGACTACCAGATAAGACTGCTTCTAGATCTTGATCTGGGTAGAAAACCTCATGTGTGTGTTTATATTCTGAATGCCTCCCTCCCCCTCCCCTGAATAAGCTGACCTCATGGCAACTTAGTAGGGACCCCAGGAGCCAACTCTAAAGGGTGATCAGTTTTGGATGGGAACCCAAATGCCAAAGGGCGATCGAGTCCCTCCCAGTTCCAAGGTCCCCTCTGCATTCAGGTGCGTTAACCTGTGGTCCAGAGTGCCTGGCCTCAGAGCCCCGAGTGACCTTTTGGTGATTTGCAGCCACGTGGAAAGTGGAAGGACTCCACCACCACCCCTTTTAGAGTCAGCAGCCTCCTACTGCACCCTTACCCAGGTCCTCCCTGTATGCGGCTTGGCCAGCATCTCACTGAGCTTTTGGCTCTCAGAACTTCTGGCTAGAATCTCAGCCCGCTGGTCCCAAACCTGGAGGGGCAATTCTGGCCGTGTGGCCTGGATATCCTCACCATCTCCGTGGATTCTGAGCATCTTCAAAAGGGAAGGGGCGATAGCCTGAGCCCCAGGATAAACCTCTAAAGTATAGGGCAGCTTCACAGGTGCTTGGAGAGCCTGCCCTGTGTGTCCACCATGCCTGGCAGTTTTTAAAGTTTTTTTTAAATGTTTTGATACTTTTTTGATACCATTTGCTAATAAGTGTTTTGTAGTTGCCAGTCGGGGTTCTCCTCCTCCCTCCCACCCCATCCCCTTGAGTTTGCAGGTATCCCTTGGGCAGCACCAGGGTCCCGCCCACCTCCTGGGGCTGTACCTTGGGGCTTTCTCTCCTTTTTGGCTGCAGTCTGGTACAAAAACTCTTGAATTGTGTAAGGTCACATGTGGCCCTCTTACACCCCCAATTGAGCAAGAGGGCAGTGCTTTGTTTGGTATGAGGATACTTCAACTCCCTGAGATGTTCTACATTTCTTCTAAAGCTCCTACCTCAACAGTATGCAGCGTTGAAAAGGTATCTGAGGCCTGATATGTGTATCACCTTTCTACAACGGGTCATTTCTCAACCCAGGGCCTGGCTGGGTCTTGACCCCCCTCCTGGCCACCCCTGCTTTTACAGGCATTTTAACGTGAAATCCACAAAAGCTATACTGGTGAACATCCTGTACTTTGTAGAGTTACCACCCTTTGTTTTGAAGGTTGTTCATTTCTTTTTTTCTTTTTCCTTTTTGCATGGATAGAATTTGGTTTCGTAGGGTGTTTAGGGTCTCAAAAAATTGTCTTTGGGTTGCCTTAGTTAAAAGGATTGAATGAATGTACAAATTTTGGTGGTGGAGGTGTGTGGAGGAGAAAAACCCTTCCATTTCTGTTTTCTTTGAGAAAAGGAGCTCCACTTTTCAGAGTTACTTGGGCAGTCTTTACAGGTTTTCTTGTGATGGAAGGAGGAATCAAGTCCTTTCAAGCAACTTCCAGCTCCCTTACAAAATTAGTAAGCTATTTGATGATTAAGTAATTTGTTGGGTATGTACTGGTTCCTAATGTTACTGAAACCTGTAATTGTGTGTGTGCTGTTTTTTTAATTTGTTGCTTTTGTATTTGTGATTTTATGACTCCCAAAGTTTTTCTGTCTTAACTTCTTCTTAATTTTCTGCAGGTTGATTTCTTTCCCCTTTTGTTTTTAATTCCATAAAGAATATTCAGTTCTTGAAACACATTAAAAATGATTTGCCTGCTAGGGTATGGCTTATTTTATAATTACATTCCTAGTTTTGTGTGGTTATTGTAATAATCTTCAGTCCTATTTTCTCTGCCCAAATGAAAAAGCACCCATTGCATGTTGAGCTCAAATATAATTTGGAAATTAACCAGACTGTCTTTTAGTGTTGTGGGAGGCTGGGCTGTTTCAATTCTGTTCACATTGTGCTTCTAATTACTGTATTTTGCCAGGAATTTTCATTCAGATCCTTGATTGCAGCCCTACGTCTTGGAACCTGAAATGGAACTGTTTCTTAACTTTGTGTCATTTGGCGTAATTTGACTAGAAAAGAAAAACAGGAGAGCCATGTGTTATCTTTATCAGAAAGATACAGGAACATTTCTATAAGAACAGAGTCCGTTTACTTCCCCTAGGGCCTTGGAGGAGGAAGATAGCTCCCTGGCACTGCTAAGGTTTTGCAAGGCCACCAGCAGACCTGCCCAGTCACAGCTGGGCATTTCTTCCTTGAACCTTTGGCAATTCAGTTCTGGGAGGATAGCGGGAGGTACCTGCCATGACCATCACACCTGGAAACCAGATTAGAATTTGCCTCCCAGCCAGTGAGCTGCCCCAAATGGGACACCAGCTGCCAGATGCTAAATTCACCTGGATTTTTTCATTTCAAGAGGAATCTTAGGTAAGAAATGATACTCCTTCCGTTTTTCTGGATGAAGCCCCCAAGGCGTGGGTTAATGATCTTACCCAAGTTGAATGACCTTACCTCCCCAGCAGGTTTGGGTCCTTTTGAACGGAGAACCATAGACAAGGACCTGAAGGCAGGTGGCTTATCTGGGGAGCTGGTCCTCGGGGAGCTGGTCCTCAGGAAGCTGGAGTGAGACCAGGAAGGAGGAAGAACTGATTAGAAGGTGCTTTATCTACAGCCAAGGAGTAAGTCACCCCCAAGCAGTGGCTTACAGCTGTAACTGTCAGTTATTTTTGCTAACAAATCTTAAGGGTTGCCTGGGCTCAGGTAGGCAGCTCTCACCTGGGTCTCAACAGGCCCGGCTGGGTAGTGGCTCCCCAAGGCTCACTGCGCAATGGGGCCCAAGTGGGGGTCCTCCTTTCTCCTTCCTTTCCTTCAGTTCTGCTCCCCTTCACACCACTCCCCACCCCTGGCCATGGTCTTTCTCTCTCTTCATCTCTTCACCTGGTGGCCCCACCAAGATCTCTTATATGACAGCCAAAGTTTCCCAAAGCCACTGTCCCAAGTGTGATTAGCAGCAGCCAAATAGTCACTGCATCCTGCTCCTTGAATGCATCACAAAAGCCCCCCTGGTTGGAGGTGGGAGGTGACAGGGCTGGTACCTCTTGCTGGGAGGTATCAGTGAATTGGTGGCCTTGTTTGAAAACCACACATCAGGAGAGGGTATAGCTCAGTGGTAGAGCACATGCTTAGCATGCACGAGGTCCTGGGTTCAATCCCCAATACCTCCAGTGAAAAAAAGAAAAATTTGCTACATTAAAAAAAAAAGAAAAGAAAACTGCACATCTGTTCAAGGAAGGAGGGTCGGAACACTTACTGGCCTCTGCCTCTCAGTCAGGGCAGCTCCCAGAGGCCCTAACGACCTCTACTCCTGGGCAGAAAGCACAGTGTATGATGAGGGGCCACCCTGCAGTAGAGTCAGAGGAGGGCACAGGGTCTGTATTGGATCCCAGAGGCACCTGTTACACCTGGAGCTGCCAGCTCAGACCTGCTCTTTCAACTATAGGAAAATGACAAGTCTCTGCTTGGGGTGTTATGCTGGGATATAAAAGTGAGAGCAGAGGGGCCAACCAGGGAAGCTGCTAGTTTCCACTCAGCTGTCAGCAAAGATTGCTGTCCCTCTCACAGAGAGGCAGCAGGTGTGGGACTGGCCAGTCTGCCAGGGGCTGGGCGGAGTGCAGAGTGAGGACCCTTCCTCTTCCGATCCACACACAGGTGAGGTCCACACGTCGAGTTGGCTGAGACCAGGACCCTTGTCTTAAGGACCCACCCCATCCTCCGAGGAGCTTGACAACTCTTGAGTGCTCAAGGAGGTCCGCACCGTGCCGGGCAGGTAGTCTGAAGGCACTGGTGGGGGACAGTGGCCAACACGCAGTGTAGACCCCTTACTTCCCAGTGGAAGAAACAGACCAGCAGACCCAGTCCAGGCAGGGAGGGTGACACAATACACTAAATGCACCAAACTATACACTTAAAATGGGCAAATGTTCTGTGTGTGAATTAGATCTCAACAAAACTTAAAAAAACAAAACAAAACACTGAGGAGTATGCATGGCAGGTCAGAGGAACATAGGCATAGAAAGTGGTGAGAATGAGGGCTGGGGGCACATTGCAGAGGCTTTGAGCAGAGGAGGGGAGGGACTGACAGGCATTGTCCCGTGGTAGAGGAGGGAGTAAGGGACAGGGCAGAAGGAGGGACCCCTCCAGAGGCCTGTGTAGTCATCTGCCATCCGCGCAGTGGGTGGTGGCTGGGATTAGAGACTCCCCAATAAACCCCTGGAGGGAATGCATGACAGCTGCCCTAGTTCCCTCCTGCTGCTGCTCAAAACAACTTAATTATATCTTCCAATTTTGCTGGATATGAATTGAGGTGGGGCTCAGCGAGGAGAGTCTACCAGTCCACGTGGCATTGGCCAGGGTCCTTCCATGTTATGGCCTCACCAGTGGCTGCTTTGGAGGGGAAGGCTGGCTTCACTGGGGACTGATGACTGAACCCCTGGCCTTTCTCACCTGGTGGGCTCAGGGCAACCTGGTTCTAAGAGACATGAAGTAGAAGTTGCCTACGTCCTTTTTCTAAAAATTAACATCCAGTAGTTTACTCTGTGTGTGTGTAGTTCTGCAAAATTAAACAAATAACCAATGAACTATTCCCTGTGAAAATTAAAGTCCAATAATGGAAGAATGGCTGAACAGAATGTGGTCTAGCAACACAATGGAATATTACTCTGCCAGGAACAGAGATGTAGCACTGACACATGGTACCGCATGGATGAACCTTGAAAATATTATGCTGAGTTGAGAAGCCAGACCCTAAGGATAATGTCTTGTATGATTCCATTTATTTGCAATGACCAGAATAGGTAAATTTACAGAGACAGAAGTTAGATTCATGGTTGCTTAGGGCTGGGGTTGGGGTGAAAGAGGACAAGGATGCAATAGCTAAAGGGTACACATGATGGAAACACCCTCAAATTGACAGTGGTTGTGGTTGCACGTATCTGTGACTATATGAAGTCATTGAGTTGTGTGATATGTGAATTATATCACAATAAATTTGTTTTACAACACTAAAACAACAATTTAACCCATCCTCTGAGTTTTATGTGTTGAGCTACAGGTTGAGAGCCAGGATAGAAACCTCCCTGCTTGGGTTCCCCGTAAGGCTGGGGATAAAATGGTAAGACTAGAGACAGCGTTGATTTGGGGCCTGCCTATGAGCAATTCTGTGTATGCAGAACTCAGGGCATCCTCCAGAGGTCTCTCTAGAGCAGTGATCCTCAAACAGGGAACTTGTCAGGAATGCAGATTCTCAGGCCCTGCCCCAGATCTGCTGACTCAGCCATGCCTGGGGTGGGTCCCAGCAATCTGTATTTTCACGAGCCCTCCTGGGGAGTCTAACTCGTGATTGAGAATTACTGCTCGCCAGAAGGTTCTGTCTCCTCTCTGCCTCCATAGGCTTTCCCAAGCTGAGTTGGATCACCAACAGCTGTGCCTGTTTTGCCCTGGCCAAAACCTGAACCACGGGGCTTCTCTCTGGGTAAGTACAACCCGGCCCCTGGGTAGCTGAGGCTTGGGGCCTGAGAAGGCTGGAGAGGTCTTGGAGCAAACCTCAACAGGGCCACACACCTGCTGCATCCCAGAGAAAGTGAACCTCGTTTGCGGACTTCTGTTGACAGGGGCAGGAAGCCCTGGGGTGCAGCCCAGCTCTTTGAATGGTCTCCAGCATCTGCTGGCTCTGGGACTTCATGCTCAGCTCAGTTTTACCAGGCATGCCACAATAGTGATTCATCTGCTCAGGGGTCACAGCCCCACTCCTTCAGTCACCTAAAAGCGCTAAAAATATATAACTCCTACATGCTGTTCTGAGCTTCCAAGTGCATGAAAGCTGGGGGCCTTTTCCTTTGTTCCAGGCTGAAATTGAAGAGACCAGGGTTCCAGTCTGAGCTTCATAACTAATCAGCCTCCGGCAGGGCTGTGCTTGGTGTCTCCTGCTTTCAGAACGGGGACCAGATCCCACCTCTGACTGGACACAGCATGAGGCTGTGCATCAGGAATGCAGGTTTTAGCCTTGGCTCTTCCACGTGCCATCAGGACAAGACACTTTCTCTCTCTCTTTTTCTTAAATTTTGTTTTATATTGAAGTACAGTTGATTTACAGTGTTAGTTTCAGGTGTACAACAAAGCAAATCAGTTATCCATATACATACATTTTTTTTTTCAGATTCTTTTCCACTATGTGTTACTAAAAGAAATTGAATATAGTTCCCTGTGCTATCCAGTAGGTGCTTGGAGGCACTTTATCTCTTAAATCTCAGTTCTTTACTCCATGGGATGTGATCGTTGGAGATGATTTGTGTCCCTCAGGGTGTGACCTGCATCACCCTTATACCCTGAGCAGCTGCCGAAGGGAGCTCTGGCCAGGAAATGTCTGGGGAACTCTGGAGGTGAGGTCCCCTCTGGAGATTCACATCAGGCTGTACATTTGTATATTACAGCCTCTGGAAGTCCCATTAAGACACATGTTTAAATTTGGTGAACCCAAGATTTCCCGATTGTTTGCCCCTGGCCCTCTCCCCAATTTTCCCTCTATTAACTATACAGACTTTATGTCATCATATCACACTTTGGGAAATGGGAAGCTAAAAGGTTTCTGTGTCCCATCAACTCTGACAGTAAAAGATTCAGTGCTTGTTACATCACCCACATGGAGAGATGCCATAAAGATGTCAAAGAACATAGTTGGCTGGCTTTTTCCGAGTCCCCATAGAGGACAGTGGCTTGATGCAGTTACCACATTTTAAAGTCCAGCTTTCAATTTTGCATATCTAGAATATTGATTTAGTTAATTTATCTATGATGGTTAATTTTTTTATTGAGGTGTAGTCAGTTTACAATGCTGTGCTAATTTCTGGTGTACAGCACAATGCTTCAGTCATACATGAACATACATATATTCATTTTCATATTCTTTTTCACCATAAGCTACTATAAGATATTGAATATATTTCCCTGTGCTATACAGTATACATTTGTTTATCTATTTTATATGATGGTTAATTTTTAAGTGTCAACTTGGTTGGGCCACAGTGCCCAGATATTTCGTCAAACATTATTCAGAGTGTGAAAGTGTGAAAGTGTTTTTTAGGATGAGATTAACATTTAAATTGGTGGATTTACAATGTCCAAAGTATAGAAACAACCTAAGTGTCCACTGACAGATGAATGGATAAAGAAATAGTGGTACAGAGTAGCCACAGTAGTAGGAATGTGGCAACCCGACTAGCCCACAGGGCACCTAGATACTTGGATAAACATTATCCTGAAAGCATCTGTGTGAGTGTCTCTGGATAAGGTTAACATTTGCCTCAAAAGACCAAGTGTTGGAGTGTGTATAGCTCAGTGGTAGAGTGCATGCATAGCGTACATGAGTCCTGGGTTCAATCCTCAGTATACTCATTAAAAAAAAAGAAAGAAAGAGAGAAAAATATTTTTTAAAAAGACCAAGTAAAGCAGATGGTCATCCCCAGTGTGGGTGTCCTCTGGAGGCCTGAATGAAACAGAAAATGGGACAAGAGAGAATTTGCTCTCTGCCTTTTTGCTTTCAAGCTGCCTTTCCTGCTCCCAGACTGGAATCATCTTGGAATGGAACCATACCATGGGCTTTCCTGTGTCTCCAGCTTCTCAATGATGGATCTCAGGACTGTCTCAGCCTCCATAATCATGTGAGCCACCTTCTTATCATAAATCTTCATACAGATACACATCTACATCTATTATCTATCTATCTGTCTATCCATCTTCGACTGGTTCTATTTTTCTGGAGAATCCTGACTAATACAAGGTGATAACTTGAGATGGAAAGAAGACTTTAGGCATGAAGATGTTCATTAATGTGATCATAAGAGTGAACAATTAGAAACAATTTATATACATGAAACATGCACAGGGTAGGAAAAATAATGTGTATGAGGTGTTTTTCTCTTTAAAATTTATTTGAAGTTTTTTTTTGGTGGAGGGGAGATAAGAAGATTTATTTATTTATTTATTTTTTAAATTTTAAAATTATTTTTCTTGATGAAGGTATTGGATATTGAACCTAGGACCTAGGACCTCCTGCATGCTAATTTCATGCTCTACCTCTGAGCTATACCCTCCCCTCCAGTGAGGCTTTTTTTCTTTTTAATAAAATGGAAAAATACTTGCATTAATGTGATGAGAAAAGCCAGAAAAAAAGCATCGGAAGCCCCCAGAGGGTATTACGGCGCAGATTGCTGATCTGATTTGGTGGCTCTGAATTCAGGTGGAGTCTCAGTATTACATTTCTAACAATCCCCAGGGGCTGACGCTGCAAGTCCAGGGACTGTACTTTAAGAACCACAGCTCTAGGGCATATTTTTTCCTGGAAAGGGCCAGACAGTAAAGATTTTGTGGGCCAGATGATCTGTGTTGCAACTACTCAACTTTGCTCTTGCAGCAGGGAAGTCACAGGAGATATGTAAATGCCTGGGTTTGACTGTGTTCTGATAAAACTTTATTTACAATAACAATCAGGGGGCCCTATCTAGCCCCTAGTTTTCCTCTCCAGGGAATGGTCATTTTGATTGACATACTATTAGGGCCCACACTCTGTCAATTTAGACTGTTAAATATATGTATACATATATATATGTATATATATATTTATTGAAGTATAGTCAGTTTAAAATGTGTCCATTTCTGGTGTATACCATCATGTTTCAGTCATATATATACGTACATACACTCATTTCTATATACTTTTTTTTATTATAGATTACTATAAGATATTGAATATAGTTCCCTGTGCTATAGAGTAGAACTTTTGTTGTGTATCAGTTTTATATATAGCAGTTAGTATCTGCAAATCTTGAACTCCCAATTTATCCTTTCCCATCTCCTTTCCTCCTGGGTAGCCGTAAGTTCATGTTCTATGTCTGTGAGTTTGTCTGTGTTTGTAAATAAGTTGATTTGTGTCTAAAGCACACCTCTTCTGATACTATGGACTATGACTGCTGTTACTGTGATGACTATTACAAGAACAGCTACCACTACTGCTACTGCTACTACTATCTTGTATTTATTGAGTCCATGCCAAGGACCCAGTGCTGTTTCAAATGCTTAACCTGCATAATCTGCTTCCCATTACAAACAGTTCCACGTAATACCCATTGGCATTAGTTCCATTTCACAGATGAATACACTGAGGCTTGGAAAATTTAAATACCTCACCCAAGTTCAGACAGCGAGTAAGTGATAGGGATTGTAACCCAAGTCCATCCAAATCCCAACCTCGTGTGGTTTCCAATAGTGCTTGTGCTGGGACTGGCAAGATGAATATATACAAGTCTGCCAGACTAGACTTAGGGAAAGGGTTTTTTAGACAGAGGGAAGGGCACTGTGAAGCTACGGAGCAGTGAGAGAGCATGGTGCTTCTAGGAAACACAGCCAGTGGGGCTGTGCCCAGGCCAGAGAGCCATGTGGTGGTTCTCTGTCCAGGCTGTGTGTTAGAACAGCTGGGAGGTGGGGGTTCAATAAAAACCAGTGCCCAGGCCCACACCCAGACATCTTGACTGAATTGGTCTGGGACTGGGTCTGGATGTCAGTCTTTTAAAAATATACATAAAAGCAAAAAGCAAAAACTTCTCAAGAGGTTTTAAGGCACAGCACAAACATGGTAGAAAAGTGCAGATTTTGGAGGCAGATGCATGTATTGTTACTAACGGGACAAAACTGACACTGGCAGCAGAGCCACTCTGGCACCCAAGTCACCTGGTGCCCCATCAAAGTGACACATGGTCAGAGAGCTACGAGCCCGACAAGACACTGGGGGAGAGGTGGGAGCAGGAACTACCCTTGGAACTCGAGTGGCATAAATTGGGAGTTTGGGATCTGCAGATACTAACTACTATATATAAAATAGATATACAACATAAGTAGTCGCTTGACTTCTTTCAGCTTTCCTGGCCTGAAAATGGGGAAACCAACAAATAGTCTTCACCTCACTGGGTTTTGTGAGAATTAAATGAGGTCACTTGTTCATTGAGTCATTCAACAAATATTTGAGCAGCTGCCAGAAGTCTAGAAGGGTTATAGGTGCTGGAAAAATAATCAGTGAATAAGACTAAGCACCTGGCTTCCTGATGTTTAGAGTCTAGTGGAGGAGACAGATAATACACATTGAAAATTACTGCACACTGGCATCCAGTGATAAGTGCCATGGAGAAACATAAGCAGGATAACAGGAGGAACTGGGGCTGGTGGTCCTCATGGTCTGAGTAGTCCTTTCAGAGCTGGTGGCCATCAGAGAGCTGAGTGAGCGAGGTGGACAGAAAAGGCACATGCAAAAGTGAAGTCAAGGGGAGGGTATATAGCTCAAGTGGTAGAATGGATGCTTAGCATGCATGAATGGGATCAATCCCCAGGACCTCCCTTAAAAAAACAAATAAATAAACCTAATTACCTATCCAGCATCCCTCCCCAAAAAAGGTGAAGTAGGAGTCTTCCTGGTACCTAGAGCTGACATCCTCAAAAATTATTGATTTCCAATTTCTTTCCATTCTGCAAAATTGTTGCTGACCCCAGCAGCTTTTGTTTTTGTGAGTTCTATCTTACTGCTAGTCATGGTTTAGGAATGAAAACTGAGACATTTAAAAATACGGATGAGAATTTATTTCTCATAAACTTGTTGCATGTCAATGTAAAACATATTTTGTAATGATACACAACTTGTCAAAACAAAAAAAGTTGGTCAGAAGAGCAGCAGCATTTTGTATTTTTGTAAAGCTCTTTAGTGTCTGACTTCCTAGGAAAACAGCTACATTCTCATACCTGCTACTGATTTCAGTCCACTGTGGTGTGTTGCTTTGATTGAAGTGTATGAAGAAAATCCAGCCTCACACAGATGGGGAAAGGGAGGGAGGAGTATTTTCCTAAAAAGTAGTCCTCAAAAGGAATGATGTTTTTAGGTAATTGCGGATATTTTTCTTTGCTGCTCTGTGAAAAGGAGACAGATGTCTTAAAGGAAAATTGCAAAGTGGAATGTGAAATTCTATCAGTGAACTTTTCATACTTTTGATGCAGGAAAACAGATGTGGGGCGTGAGGAGGGCCATGTCCCAGGTCTTGGTTGATCCCTGGGACATGCCCAGCCAGATGTGGGTTCTTGGCTTCCTGCATGAAAGAATTCAAGTGCGAGCCACCATTGAGTAAAGGTAGGTTTATTTAGAGAGATACATACTGCATAGGGTGTAAGGCAAGAGAAAGGCAAGGAAACAGGTGTAGGAATTGGGTGCTCAGGTTAAAGTAAAAGTAGGTATATACTCCATAGACAGAGTGTGGGCCGTCTCCAAAGAGGAGGGAGTGAAAAAGGCCACTAGGCGTGGTGTTGCCAGTTTTTATGGGCTCAGTAGCTTCACATGCCTACAAGTGGGACCATTCCAACTACCCTGGGGAAGGGGCTGGAATTCCCTGGAATTGGGCCACTGCTAGTTCCTTGGCCTTTTGCAATTATCCTTGAGACGGTCATGGTGCCTGCGGGCATGTTATTTATTACCCTGTTACAATGAGCACATAATGAAGCTCAAGGTCTACTAAAAGTCAAACCTCTTAATCTTCAAGGCCAACTAGGAGTTGAATCTTCCACCATTTTGGTGTTAAATTGCTGTCATTCCTTGAGTGGCTCTGCCCTGCCCCCTTCCCTCCTGTCCCATTTTGTCTGATTAAACTCATTGGTCTAGCTTGTACTTTGAATGGATCTTTTATTCCTGCCTGATTTTATAACCACTACAAGTCACCAGTAGGTTTTCATATCCCTCCCAGTCTTTATCCATATGCAGGTAGAATTTTTCTGTGATTGTAATCATAGCATGAGTACAAGTTTATATTCTGTTTCCTTAACTTTTTGTTAAAAATTTTTTCAGACATATGGAAAAGTTGATAGTACCACTTAGATCCAACAATTGCTAACATTTTGCATTATTTACTTTCTGTGTTTATATGTTTTTCATTGTTGCAAAGTCCTTTATTTAAAAAAGTTTTTATTTAAGTATAGTCGGTTTAAAATGTGTTAATTTCTATGTATGATTTTATTTTTTGTTGAAGCATTAAAAAAAATACTCTCAGGCATTATGACATTCACCCCCTAGAGTCTCCAGACGCATATCCTAACAATAAGAACATTCTCTCACATGAGCATAATATCATTATTACACTGTGAAAGTTATCAACAATTCACTAAAATCATCTATATCTAAGCTATACTCAACTTTCTCCAACTGTCAAAAAAAATTTACCAGCTTAAAAGAACCCACCTGGATCCAGTCAAGATTCACACATTATATTTGGTTAAGTCTTTTTAGCTCTTTTATTTTAGAACAGTTTCTCCCCTTTCTTATATTTTTCATGGCATCCCATTTTTGAAAAGACCAGGCCTTCTGTCTTATAGAATCTTACTGATCTCCTCTGCTCAGCACAGGGTTGGCAACAGTAGCCTCGCTGTACGTTGCACGCGAAAACAATGACAATTGTTATGAATAATAATCACAGTAGCTAATTTTTATTAAGGGCTTGCTCTCTTGGCCAGTATGCTCACACTCATTTAATTTGATCCTCACAGAAATCGAGTTAAATTTTTATTAGTCTTATTCACAGGTGAGGAAACCAAAGGCTTAGGAAAAGAGAAATAACTTGCCGGAATCACTCAGCTAAATGAGAGCGAAGCAGATGGTGAATTCGTGGGCAGGTAGGGGATTCATTGTTTCTTGAATCAGTGACCTGAAAGCTGGTCTGTCTGTATAGGTGCATGTATGTGTGTAATAGGTAACACTTACTGAGTATTTACTATCTGCCAGGCCCTAATGCTAAGCGCTTTACATGTGCTTTTTTTTTTTCCTCTTAAAAGCCTGGCACAGAGCAGGCGCTCAATGTTTGTGGAATGAATGAAAAGTGAATAAACGAACAAATGAAAGGATGTGACCTCCATAAACCCAGACTACTCTGAGATCTATAGCGCTCACTTACGAGACCCCGGCATAGGAAGACCCCGCGGTTAGGGGTCGCGGCGGGCCAAGCTCAGGCCGCAGCTCCCGGGTGCCCCACGTCCCGAGTCCCGCCCAGCACCCAGGCGGCATCCCAGCAGATGAGAAGTCGGGGTCGACTGGGTGCTTCGGTGCTATCATAGCAGTCCCCTGACCTGTCCCCTTCCGGCGCCTCAGCCAGGACCGGGTGGCCGGGGTCCCCAGTGGGCCCGCATCCGCCGAGGGGCGCGGACGAATCCACCCCCGGCGGACTCC